ATATACACACACACACACACACACACACACACATATATAAAATACTGTTACTTCCCTGAGAACTTGAAAGCTAAATGTCTTGACTTAATAAAAATTTAATTTAACTTTTGAAATAAGGGAACGTATTTAATAGCATATTTGCTTTTACTGACGGATCTCATTTGTTTAAAGCATCATGAAAGTTCTCAGGTATTTCCACAAACTACTATTTAAACTGTGGCTTTATGACAACAACCCGCTTACGACTGTGTTTATTTCGTACCTCAGGCCGAGATCCGTGATCTGATAGCATCCGGACAGGCTGAGGAACCTGAGTGCCCGATAGGCTCCTGATTGGTCAGTCCTGTTGTGATGCTCGGGGCAAGATTCACCCTCAAACGAGCATTTAGTCCGATACTCAACACTGCCCCCTGTGGCCTGGAGGTCACAGCGCGCATCTCTCACCGTCCAGAGCGCCACGTCGGAGGTACAGCAGGTGGAGTGACCACAGAGGGCGTCGCCCATAGAGCCGTACTGCCAGTAGGAGGAGCTAATACCAGTCCTGAAGCTCCGCCTCCTCCTACAGCAGCACGAGCTGCCACCACGCCCATTTTCCTGCACAGACACGCCCCCTCGTTTGCTCCAGTCGGCCACATCCTCGATGTCGGCAAATTTGGACGGGTCGAGAACCCACACGTGGGCAGGGCCACAGCCGGAGCCACGCCCACCAGGTCTCCGCTTGAAAATGAGATCCTGGCAGCTGCGTCCCATTGGTGGGAGCGAACACTCGTCCTGGAAATTGATGGGAGAGGGCGGGGCTTTCAGCAGCTTGGCTCTGTGATCCGGGCTGGATGTAGTTAAGTCGCCCAATCCCAGTGACAGGATCTTCAGTGTGCGGTCCGTGATTTTGTCGCATCCCGAGAGATCCAGCCGCTCTAGAGTACGACACGCCCCGAACTCCGCCCAGCTGGAAAAACACAAACGGACGTGTTGTGAGATTCACGAGGGCAAATGGGCTCCAAAAAAAGACACAAATCAGAAGGCGAGCCCACCTGTCAAAGGCAGAGTCGGAGATGTCAGTCTGCGTGAGATCCAGGTGAGCCAGGTTTGGGCACAAACTGAGGATCTGTTGCACCTGGATGGAGAAATCAGGGTATTTATTCACTTATTTAAATTGCGTAACAGCATCAAGGACTAACTACATTCACGGAAAAATAGTTAAAAACAATAACAACATACAATTAAATTTATTTCAAAATGACAAATACAACTACATAAAATATAGTTAATTGAAATATAACTAAATTTCATGGAAATATAATATAAAATGTAATATAAATAAAAATGTATATAAAAATATTTTTATTAACACACACACACACACAGACACACAATTAACAACAACACTGAGGCATACTGTATCCCACAATGCAATGTGCTCAACACTATTTTTATATGATCTTTTCTATTAAACTACATTAAAATGATCAAATGTAATATAAACTGCATTAAAAATGTAAAATAACTCATGACATTAATGCAGTGTTTTAATTAAACTTTTTTAATAAATAAAAAAAAAATGTTGAAAAAAATATCTTAAATAATTAACTTATGCAGTTTACTTCTGTTTTTAATTGAAGTATAATGAATAAAAAATTATTTTAAAAATAAATTATAAAAAAAATCACTAATGTAGTACACTGCTGTTTTTATTCATTTAAAGTTTTAGAATTATGAAAATAATTATATTATAAAATATATTTTAAAAAAATTATTTAAAAAAAATCACTAATGTAGTACACTACTGTTTTAATTCATTTAAAGTTTTAGAATTAATTATGGAAATAATTCTATTATAAAATATGTAAAAAACAAATTATTTAAAAAAAAATCACTAATGTAGTACACTACTGTTTTTATTCATTTAAAGTTTTAGAATTAATTATGAAATTAATTCTATTATAAAATATAAAAAAAAAACATTATTTTTTTTAAAAATCACTAATGTAGTACACTACTGTTTTTCTTCATTTCAAATTTTAGAATTAATTATGAAAATAATTCAATTATAAAATATTTTAAAAATAAATTATTTAAAAAATCACTAATGTAGTACACTACTGTTTTTATTAATTTAAAGTTGTAGAATTAATTATGAAAATAATTCTTTTATAAAAATTAAAAAACAAATGATAAAAAAAAACACTAATGTATTACACTACTGTTTTTATTCATTTAAAGTTTTAGAATTATGAAAATAATTATATTATAAAATATTTAAAAAATAAATTTTAAAAATTCACTAATGTATTACACTACTGCTTTTATTCATTTAAAGTTTTAGAATTATGAAAATAATGATATTATAAAATGTTTAAAAAATAAATTATTTTAAAAATTCACTAATGTAGTACACTACTGTTTTTATTCATTTCAAGTTTTAGAATTAATTATGAAAATAATTTAAAATGTGTTTTAATGCTCAATTTATTGGTGCATATTACGGAATTAGAAAAATATTTTTTATCAAAAGGTAAAAATGTCCTTACTCTAAAAATGACTCCACAGATCTCAACAAGTGCGGTCACAAGAGGGCGACAAAGTGACTAAATTAAAATGGACCCTATTTATTTTGTCTTATTAAGTTACTGGTCCTATTATGATCGATCCATCTGTGGTAGAGCAGCTTATGGCCAAAATCATAATCACAAACATTTTTACCGTTGTATCATCTAATGCTACATTCATGGAAAATAATAATAATAATAAAATAATAGAATAAACAATGAATACTAAAAATAATAAATCATACAAAACATAATAATAGAATATACAATTAAAGTTCTTAAAAAAATGACAACTATATAAAATCCTTTTATAGATGTAAGAAATATAATGGCAAAAATAAATGTAATTTCAAATAATTATATGAATATATTTTTATTCTGTAATATTTATAATTTAATATAATTACTCTCTGACCTTGAAATCATCATGCATCTATTGAGATTTTTTTTTTAACTCGGCTTTTTAACAATGGGAATAGAATAGATCTTTATTCTCATTGTTAAAGGGCTTCCTTAACTTAATATAATTCAATAATTTCATATAATTATAAGAATGTAATATTTTTAATTTATAATATTTATAATTGAATATAGTTAATATACTGACAGACTTTGAAAGCATCATGCATCTATAAAACTTTTTTTAACTTGTCTTTTTTAACAGTGGATTTCCTTGAATCTTGATAAAATTCAAGTAAAGAAAGTGGAATTAAAGTAAAAAAAATTTTTTTAGAA